CTGCACAGCCCTCAGAACCAAAGTGGGCCAGAGAGTGTCTTGAAAAATGCAATCCCCAAATTAACTGGGGCAAAAATAAGGCTGGCCCTAGCCTTCCTTATCTTTCAACAACCCAAATCAATTTATAAGGTGATGGAATGCATGCTCTCCCAATACAAGTTTGGAATATATATATATCTACTTTTAGAAGCTTCTAAAGCTTCTGGCCAATTTCTGTCGAAACAAATCCAATGCAACTATGCCACTTTCACAATTTCCACTGCCAAATCCATGGCCTAGGTGCTGCCGCCCCATCTCACCCTCATTCCTGTCGCTACCACAGTAAGTAGTGCTGACTCATTATACAGTTTTTAGCCATCAAGCCCCTAGCTGAGCCTCAGAATTCTTCTTAACGCAGGGTTCTAAGTGCCTCTTCACAAGAGTAGTTGAAAAGAAGTATTTATTATTAGCTATCTCTAAAAGAGAGAAATGAGCAATTGGCTTAGTTAAATGGCTTTCCAAAAAGAAAATTTCTCCATTGGGCTCGTCATTGCCAATAAATAAAAGCATCAATATTAGATAATTTCATCCATTCAATCAATAGAGTCAGCTATTCTGGGTAACATTTCACAAGTACCTCACCCTAGAAGGCTTAATAATAAGCAGTGCTCCCCAGAGTTACCCGTTCTATTATGAGGTACGTGGGGAAGCAGCAGGTTACAAAATTTTGCCTTTAAAGTGTTTGTGCCCAGCTGATCTCTCTGGTACTCAGCTGCACAGAGCCTGGGGTCTCAGAATTCCTCAGGGGGATCGTAGGAGAAGGAGCTTTTCTGCCCGGCTTCTGGGGGCATCGCTAGAGGACCTAGAGGCTACATGCCTGAGCTGGGACATCGGGTTGTTCAGGTGTTTCTCCAATCAGAGTATTCGGTTTACTCCCCAGTTAGCAGGACTCAGGAAGTCACAGCTGAACGTGCCCCGTCAGGGCTAGTCCCTGTTCTCTGAACCGGGAACTGCTCACAGTTTTTCCTTCATCGAGCTCCAGACCACAGGAAGAAGCAGCAAGGCGGGTTCTGTGGAGCGTCTGCCTCCCACTCGCAGTCTGACAGAGGCCTGGGAGCCCTGCTGACACCTCCCACATCTCCCTCCCCGCCACACAGGGAGCCCCGGGACCCCTCCCTGCTCCAGCAGCAGCATCCCAGCAGCAGGCGGGATGTTCCCACTCGGCTGTTATGCCGTCGTTTTCAGATTCGACATTACTAAACACAACCAAAAATGAAATCGTTATTTCCCAAGTTGATGTTTCTCCTAACTCCCTATTTCTCTCTGAAATATCACAGTTCCTTCAGCCTCCATCAAGCCTCCCATCTCTCAGCTGGTCTAGCGACTCTCCTTTCGAAATACCCTTCATATTCTTCCTTCCTCTTCTCAATGTCATCCTCCTAGTTCTGCCCTTTATTCTTCCTTTTCGGTGCTTTGCTTCCTCCTCTCTATTCGTACCATGTTTCTCCAGGGCAAAGACCTTACTAAAGTTCCATCTTCTCAGTGGAAAACCTCAGACACGCTCCACGCTGAGAAAATAACACCCAAGACTTGTGGACTGGCACGTGAGGCACTCTACACTTTGTGCTCCTCCTTTCCCTTCCGTGAAGCCTCCGCTGTCCACGCTGCAGTTACTCAAGCTCTCGGACAAGCCACCTCATCGCCCCCTCCCCGGATCACACATCCGTCATTCCTTCCACTCTGACCCCTGAGGACCCGCCTTCCTTTCACTTACTTAGCCCCTCGTCAACCTCAACGGTCCAGTTCAAATCCTGCTCCCAAATTCCTAAATCCTCTGGCTCCACCACTTAGGTGGCCCTTGTAACATCATCCTCTGCATTTTATTTTTTCAGGCGTCCAGGCTGAAGTAAATTGTTACTTAAAACCAAAGTTAAGTTCCAAGAAAATCAGAACACCTCCTCTTCTGGTAACTTTCATGGCATTAGGAGAGCACACCGCCAGAGGCGGCTCTATGTGCTGACTGACTGACATGCTACAACTTACAAGTTGTTTTGAGATGACTTCCTAAGCACCGAGTTTAGAACACAGAATGAACTCGAATGGGTGCATCTGAGGTCTTGCCTCCCGTTAGTAACCCTCACTCTCATTACCAAAAACTCACCCAAGAGCCACCCAGCCTTGGAAGCTCTTAAGAAACCACCATTTTTGGACGGAAGAGAAGAGGTAAGTTCATTTTATGGAAAATAAATAGAAAAAATATTTCTGACTTTAATACCAGTTTAAACTGATCGCAGAAATTTCAAAGTATATCCTCTCTCATGTCCATTCATAACCACACTTTCAACCTGTATGTATAATAACACAGCGCCTCAGAATAAGCAAGCAGTATAAAAATTTGCATGCTTTTACAGTAACCTACACAGTGGTTGGATAAAACCCACGTGGGAGTGCCCCCGAACGGGGAATAGCAGTGGACATGCCTTCGGAGATAGGACAGCCGTTGAGTTCTAAGTGCTGAGTTCAAATCCTCTAACAGACAAAAAAAGGAAACACATCCTCTCTCAAGCTCTTTCAGTTCTGTTTTCACAAGAGAATATAAAACCAAATGGAATCTCACGTATTTCAACAGCTGTGGTAATTTATCATCTTTTTTTCCTTTTGGAACGAGACAATGGCCACCATAACCTTGAGGTGTAACCTGAGGGGTCATGAAGGTGGAGGACAGTGACTCATGCCTGTGAAGCTATTATGAGCAATCTGTGAGTCCAAACACTGCCAACAGTCTGAATAAGCAAAGCCACACACAGAACCACTAGTGTGTTTCTCAAATGTCTATAGATGCTGTTGGGAGCAATAAATCAGAGAATATTAAATGTCTTGGAATTCACAATCATTTGCTGCTTTCCATCTTTTCTTAATCAAGAGATACCTTCAATTAAGGGGTTGTGTGGGGTATTCTACCAAAAAACCTGACATTAAAAAAGGATTCCCAGAATGACAAAGGTGAGACCATCTCTACCAGATTCTTGACGCTGACCTCGTACTCACCCAGTGCCACACAGTCCTGGGGCTTTTCAAGCTTTCAGGCTGCTGGTGGTCCCCGTGCCATGTCTATGAAAGTCAGCTCCCTTTGTAACTCCCATTATTGATAGAAGAATATAGATGCAAATGAGTTGAGGATGGTGGTCAGTGGCTACTGAAAGGATAAACAGGGCACTCATTTATCCAGATTTTATCTCACACTGAGCTAAACAGAAAGCTCATATAACCAAGGCTCCAAGACAGTGCTCTAAATTCCAGAAAGGTAACAGGTAAAGGGTAGAGAAATCAAGCACTTTATAACTGTCGCACACAAAATCTCCAGATCTACACAGCGGGGATGCTAACTGTCCAGACCCCCCTGCCGGATGCCAGGGTCTAGGAATTCCCCCCCACGTCCTGGTTCCTGAGCAAGTCCGCAGAGTCCCCTCTGTTCAACACCTGACTTCATTCTCCTAACGCCTGTGCAGAGGGAGTAGCATGGGATTCTCATGACCCTATTACTGCTGTCACACTTCAGTCAAGCTGTTTCCTTGCTTCTTCCCAATACGCGGCTGAGAGCTCCCTGAGTGGAGGGATGGAACCCTGTTTATTCTCATCTCCCCACCACACCAGGCTCTCAGATGCAAATTGGCTGTTGAATGAATGCAAGCACCTGAAGCCCCAGCCCTGGGGGAGGGGCAGGAGCAGCAGGGCAGGCCAGGAGGCCTAGAGCACGGGTCTGCAGCCCGGTCTGCAACAGGAGACTTTTAACAGCTGCTGGGGAGGAAAAGTGAGCCAAGCCAAGCACTCTGCAGGAAGCGGTAAGGCCTTGGAGGGCTGGAATGGCAGGTCATCCTGCGGCTTTTATTTGGAGCCGTGTGCACTGTCTGTAATGTGTCAGGAAGCCACCACATACATGGAAACTGAAGCAGCAAAGATTCCATGAGATGTGGCTAAAAGGCACCATCAACTAGACAGCAAGGGATTCTCTCCTCTGTGTAAATACAGACACATGGTCACACATATGCTCAAAGGCATCCAAAATCTGGAAGGTTCAGACAGCACCTCAAGAGGGAATAAGGCCCCTGGGCTGTGGGAAACACGCTGGGCATCTTCCAACCTTTAAAGACCTTTATCCTTTAAGGATGCCCTCAGGGTACCACCTCTCCCACGTCTGTCCCTGACCTCTCCAGCCACAGTGGTCTAGCTCTTTCATGAACCATCTTTACGAGCAGTATTAGAAGGAGGCGGGGTGCTGGGTGTGAAGGACCACGGCACTAACAATCAGAAAAGCTGGTTCAGGTCACATGACTCCCCCAGGCCGTGGTCCCCCTTCTGTGAAAGGGAGGCAGAGGGGCTCATCCACAGGACCCTCACAGAGTCATCTGAGGGTCACAAGAAAGTGAGGGAGTACACAGTTTACCATTTCATTTGGTTTCTATGGCTGCTACGACAGATTACCACAAACCGGGTAGTTTTAGACAAGGAAAAGGCATTCTCTCACCATCCTGGAGGCCAAAAGTCCAAAATCAGATCAAAGGCCAACTCCGGATGTCAGCAGGCTGTGCTTCCTCAGGAGGCACCAGGGGACAGCCTGCCGCCTGCCTCTTCCGGCTTCTCTGTGTCCAATCTCCCTCTGCCTCTCTCAGGATTATTGTGATTGGATTAACAACCCACCAGGATAATCCAGTGTAATCTCTTCATCTCAAAATCCTTAAATTAATCACAACCTAAAAGGCTCTTTTTCCAAATAAGATAATGTCTACTAGTTGCAGGGATTAGGATCTGAAACCTTTGGGGCCACCATTCAGGCCAATCCACTCACCAACTACATTAAGTGTTTAAAGTACAATTCCTGCCCTGTATTTGTTTCTTTCTTTCTTTCTTTTTTGCATATATCTTTTTTTTAAATTTTAACAGTGATTTTTATTTATTTATTTATTTTGGGTTTTTTTTGGGGGGGGAGGGTTATTAGGTTTATTTATATCTTTATTTTTAAGAGGAGGTACTGGGGATTGAACCCAGGATCTCAGGCATGTTAAGCATGTGCTCTACCACTGAGCTATACCCTCTCCCCCCGTATACGTTTCTAATTCACCTCCTCTCAGCTAGAACATAAATTCTTTGAGAATAAGAACAACTCTCATACTCTGCATGTCCCATGAAGGCTTTTAAGGTATTATTTGTTCATTTGGAAAATAAAATCATTATTCTACTCAAGTTTTAGATCCCATGTAAAAATTCTAACGCAATGTGAAGTGTTTCATTTTTTTTTTTTCTAAAATAGCCAGAGCTTCTGTTCAGAGAAGCTGGGGAAAGAGGGACCACATCATAGATGCTTCCACTGTCTCTGCCAAGCACCTTGCACTGAGTGTCATTTGTGACGCACTGTTAGTGCAAACCGTTCCACACCATCACCGAAATCCAAAGGCAGGAAAACCACTGGAAGTAAAATCGCAATAAACTCCCTCTAAACGAATGCGTGTGAGCTCCATGTAGCCCGATTCACCTCAGTATCAAGAATAGAAAATTCAGCAGCTAATCTGGAAGAGTTTGATGAAGGCTCAAAATGGGGAGTACATGCATTCAGTCATTTTTTTCGACAAGTATTTATTGAGGACATACTATGTACCCAGTAGCGAGGAAAACAGGCACATCACTGCCAGTTTAAGGGCTTCATGCTAGTTGGGCAAAATAAATAACAAACAAACCTTATACAACGAGGGGGATACACATCAAAGGGGACCTCAGGAAAGAGGTTTAAGGGAGGGGGTGTTGGGGCTCTCCAAGAGGGGCGGGGACAGTCTCTCTGTCACAGTGGTGCCTAGTTCAGACAGTAAGGAAGTGAAGGAGAGGTCAGGTGACTGGAGAGCAGGAGCAAGAGTGCTCCTCCAGCCGTTCCCAACAGCTGGAACAGCTTGTTGTGTCAGAAGATGAGGTGCTCGAAGACCAACAGGACCAGGTCAAAAGGACCCAGGAGTTGTCTTGACAGGCTTCCCACTGATGAATTTGGGGACATCCTGACCAACAAAAACAGGAATGGTGGTCACGGATTATCACGCACCAAATAGATGTTATCTATTTTATTCATTGAAAAAGATGCATGAATCGATAATGATACTCCTAAAAATAGGGGGAGAGGAAGGAGGATGACTTATTCTCTAACTGAAAAATACCAGCTAACAGTAGAATTAGAAAACTGTCACTTAACAAACAGCAACATGGCAACTGACTCCAGCAAGATCACCGAAGAATGCAAAAACCATCAGGCAAAATTTTGTTGCGAAAAGGATACTCATGTGAACTCAGAATGTTGCTCTAGAGCTTACCCAATAAAGCAAAAGGCATAAAACCACAGGGAAAAGTCTGGCAGGCACTAGATTTAGGGCTTCCCAATGTGATGCTCTGGGTAAGACACCTTCTCCTGTTCTTGTCAAACATGCTCAACCTCAATCTAATGATGAAGAAGCCATCAGATAAACTGAGATGGTGGGATAGCCAATCACACAGTTGTCCTGTACTCTTGAAGAGTGTCAACATTATAAAAAGACCAAAAAAAAAAGTAAACCTGTTCTAAATTAAAGGAGACTAAAGAGATATGACAACTATGTGGAATAGATAATCTTTAATTGGATTCTGGATTTAAAAATACAACTTGAAAGAACTTTTGGAGGCATAACTGCAGAAATCTGATATGGACTGCATATCAGATAATATTGCAATCATGTTCAACCTAGGAGTATAATAATGACATAATGATGTTATGGCTATGAAGAGCAGGTACTTGTTCTCAGGAGATAAATGTTGGAGTATTTAGGGGTGAAATGTCTGAATGTCTGCAAATTACTCTCAAATGGTTCAGCAAAAAAAAAAAACAACTTTTAATATGTATGTATACTAAAAGGGAAGGAGGCAGGAAGATAAAGCCAATGTGGTGAGTGTCAACTGGTGAATCAAGGTGAACATGGGTGTTGTCTGTACTGTTCTAACTCTTTTGGTAGGTTTGGAATTTTTTAAGAAGGAGAAAGGGCAAGGGGAGAACATTCTAGGAACAGGAGACAAAAGGCCAAGACACGAACATGCCAGAATGGTCAAGAAAAAGCAGAGCCCAAAGCATCCAGAATGAAATGTGTGAGAGGCAGCAGGAAGGCGGGTCATGGAAGACGGGAGGGCTCTGAGTAGAGCGACTTACACAAGACCACGCCGAGTACGCGATGGAGAATGAGCCCAGCAGGGCTGAAGGGCTGAACTGAAGCAGGGGATAAGCTAGGAGGCTGCTACCAAATCTAGGGATATGGCTTTCTGACTTAAGCCAAGTTAGTATTTAACATAAACAGGAAAAGAAAACAAGTCCAATACTGGTGAAGGAAAAGTAGATGTTCTCTCACTTAGGGGTATCCCCATGCTGTTTTATTAGCTGGATCCAGTAATAATTCACCTTGCATGCTGCCGGGGGGAACGTAGGAGAAAAGCCTAAGAACCCATGAAATTGAGCTCATCTCTCATCACCTGGGATCATGAATACAGCTACCCTGTTTTCATAACTTCTCACCATTGTCATGTTCCATGAGAATATGCAACATCCTGCTGCTACAAAGGTCGGGCTTTGCAGCTCATTTTGAATGCTGGGTTTCCAAGAACAATATGAAGCTAATAATAATAATAACCCCCCCCCCCAGAATCCTCATGTTGGAACTTTTCACAAACGCTACCTAATTAATTCTTATAACACCTCCAAGAGGTATTATTATCCCCATGTTACTGCTGGAGAAACTTGAGAATTTCTTGTCTTGTTCTTTTTTTTTTTTTAAATTCTGCATTGGTATCACTCCTCTGACTGAGACACCTCTGAGTTTCTTGTTGTATCATCATCTTTTGCTTTCAAAGAATATCACAACCTCATTCTCTTATCAACAGGGAGGGTGTTAATGGCTGTAGCCACATTTTAAGTGTAGGAAATCAGTTTTTCAAAATGGTGTGAAATGTCTTTTTCCTAGTCTCAAAGCAATGTAGTAACAAAATGGAACATAGGGCAAAACTCACCCCCACTACACACACACACACACACACACACACATGCACACACACACAAAGCAATTTTTTCATTTATCCCAAGATGATCTAGTAAGGGAGAGATAAATGCTAAGGTTCCATAGAATAATTTCAATATATTCTAAAACCAAAATTCAAAATTTGGTTAAATAAACAGGTCACAATATTTGGTCCAGAAAGACAATGTTGCAATGAACACTCATGAGTGATGAGGGCCAAATGAATGTATAATGGTGAGTGGTAAAAACGAAGTGTCTAATTGGAATTTGACACAACATTGTAAAATGATTATAAATCAATAAAAAATGTTAAAAAAAAAAAACAAACAACGAAGTGTCTAGGCTCCTTGCGCTTGGGGTGGGGTTCCTTCTACAGGCCTTTAGAAGCATGCCTTCTAATAGAGCTGACAGGGCCTAAGACCACCACACCAACGGGGAGACGCTGCCAGCACGGAGCAGAAGCAGGCCAGCGCCGGTGGAGGGAACTGGGCACAGACTGCCCGGGTTAGGGCAGCCGTAGCTCTCAGTGCCTTTGGGGCCCATGGCCTGGTTTCCAAATGAAATCAATTTAACCTTCAGTGTATCACTTAGGCTCTGTCTAAAATAAAACCTAAAAAAACCCAGAAAATAGGGCACCACAGTTCAAAATATGCTCCCTGGTCCCATAACCACACTCCCAACAGAGGACTGAAAAATTGACTTGTACGGTGAACCAAACAGATGAGCTCCAGATGGTAACAAAAATCACCTTCCCTTTAAAGAGCATATTCGATCTAGAACGCAAAGTTAACAGGACTGCAAACTGAAGTGTGTTGAAGGAAGGTGTAGACAGTGCCGCTTGATGCCCTAGAATGACAGTGGGGGTTCTTCCCCTGGAGGCTTGAGTCTGAACCAGATCAAGCCTCTCACTAGGTGTTGGTAAGTGGATACAATTTGTTCAAACTTGGAGGCTTTGAGAGTGAAAGGGGGCACTTTTAACAATCACTCTGGGACAGGAGGCATGAGCTGAACTGAACCTGGGCATGCTGAGATGCATGGTCACGACGGAGAAGTTTGTTTCTCTGGACCTCAGTTTTCCCATCTGTAAAATGTGAAACTGTGTTTCTTGCCTAACAGGCACTGTGAGAACCACAGGAGTTAACATACGTAAAGCACTTAGGAGAGCGTAGGGCACATAGCAAGGTCTCAGTGAACGCTGGAAACCAAGCCACTGCACATGCAAATATTTAAGTCAATCATTTTAGCCTCCCACTCAACTCAGTAAGCCAAATAGCAAAGTTAGCATGAAAAAGTGAACACATAACAAAAAACTGAGAATCATCATAACAAAAACTAAGACCCCTGAAAGGCTCCCAGTGCCTGGCGATGTAGGCACCTACACCCGTGAGAATGAAGGCTCTGAACTGATATGATAAACTTACCTGACCTTACAAGACCTCATCCCCTAGGCTCAGTAACTTCGTAATAGCTAAGTTTATCATATCAGTTCAGAAAATAATAAACTCTAGGGAAAAAAACCAAAAGAAAGTACCTGAACACTTTCTGTAGTAAGTTTACTATGCATCTTTCCCCATCACTGCACGTGAGTCTACCCCCGTCCACCATCCCCCACAGACACATCTCATTCTTCCTTCTCTGGATTCTTACAAGCAACAGAAGCCTCCAGAGGGTGGCACTGGCAGAAACCACGGGAAGGCCAAGAGAAGCGCTAACTGGTCAGTCCACACCTTCCCTGCCACCCCTCCAGAGGCACCTGAGACTGCCAACCTTCCCATCTCTGCCCAGCTCACAGCCACAGGACCAACAAAGTGTCCATAACTGTGCCCATCCCTGCTTTGGAGAACCACTCCACGGAGCACGTGCACTAAACAGCTCTGGTTCTACACAACGATTCAGAAATAAAACTCGGGGATGCATAAGGCAGTTCATTAAACCATCCCATTCCCCAAAGCACTGAAACTGGTGTCTTCAGAGTATGAATAAATTGCCATCTGGTACTAGCTTCTTCAGATTCTTCTCAA